GTGTACTTCTGGATCCGCGACGCAGAATTCGCGGTGAAGCACCGCGTGTAAAATTGCCAGCGCGAGCTGATGCCTCTCTGCAAGGCCAGCGGGGACTACCTGCAGGGCGCGGGCGCGACCGTCGGGCGCAGGGGGGCCATGCGCGACGAGGTCTACGTTCTCGCCTTTCTCGGCCGAGTTGCCTAACACCGCGCGGCCCGCGCGCTTGGCGGCGCAGAATGCCCGCTCGAGGTCGGCGCCGGGATCCACGCCGAACCCGTCGCGGATTTTTCTGATCGCGACGGCCGCCGCAGACGAGAAGACGGGGGCGGGCCGACCGAGGGGCGCCATGCAGCCCGAGCCCTTCCAAGAGAAGTGCAACTGCGACGTCGAGTACCAGGGCCAGACCGCTGCGCTCAAGCGCTGCGCTCGCAGCGACCCCGTCGCTGCGACAGCCAACCGCAACCAGAGCCCTTCGTCGTCAACGAAGCGCGCTGCCACATTCGCATGCTCGGTGGAAGACGCGCGCGCGTCGAGGGGCGCGAGTGGCAGGCCGCGGCGCGCTGCGACGTCGAGCGCGCCTTCGCGCGCTTCCTGGGCGCCGCCTCTGGGATCCGCCACGTCGAGGAGGGTCGAGGGCAGGGCCCGGGGAAGATCAGGGGGGGGGCGCGTGCGATAGCGCGGCGCGCAACGACGGGGTCTCCGCGGAGTTCGAGGGCAACGGCGACGACGAGGGCGGCGAAGATGACGAGGGCGCCGCCCACTGGGGCCGGCGCCGCGCGCCGCCCCGAGCGAGTCTGCCGCGTGCCGCGGCGAGGGCGCCGAGCGCTGCAGTTGCATCTCTCGCTTGGCAGGCCGAACAGGACGCGCATCCCCAACAGCACGTCCAGTCATTGACTGGCAGTCCTCGGCCGACGCGGCGCGGTGAAACGCCGGCGCCGCGTGGAAACCGCGAGCGCGCCGGCGCCGCGATCTGTGCCTCCCTGCCCCCACGCCCGCCCGCCCACCTTCTCCGCGCTCGTCATTTCTCATGCGCGGTTCAGGGCCAAACATGCGCCGGGCCCGATCAGCCGGGCTCGCATGGTCATGCCACGCGGCAACTGGCTCAAGCACTGCCTTAAATCTTTCCACGCTTCGGCGCAATGAGAGTTCCATGAATTTCCGTCGCGACACCTGGTAGCGGAAGTCGACGGAAGTCGCGCGAGGTGGAAGACGTCGGAAGGCCGTCGGAAGGCCCGTGGAAGACAGCGGAAGTAAATGACGCCTTTTCCGAGCCCCTTGCCCACGTGCAAGCCAAGCAGTGTTGTTTTCTTCCGCGGTCCGGGCTGGCATTCGGCGATCATTTTTGATCGTTGTTCTTCTTTGTTTAAAATGTCAGTTCAGCGACGTGAGAATCCCATCTATTCAAAACTCTGGCAAACCAAAATCCCGGGTCGTTCGTGCATCCCGCCGCGCCGGAATCGGCTCGAGGTGAGGTAAGATGGGGCTCCGAAGTTGCGCCTCTCGCGCCGCGTTGCGGTCGCCTTGAGGGTGCATTCATCGAGATTATATCCCAGTCATGCATGGGCCACGCAGCCGTCGCGTGGTCAATTCTGGGCCATCCTGGGCGCGCCTTTCCCCATCTCGTAATCGAGCCATCTCGACGCCACTCGAGGCTCATGTCTTCGGTCATCTTAGAGCCGGCCAAGGACGGCCCAGATCCCATGGCGGGATCGCGTTGGAGCGGCGTCCTCTCAGTGTTGTCTGGGCGTTATCGCCCGCGGCATGGGGCCCTCCAGGGACCGCGCCGCGGCCGCGGGGGCGTCTTGGGATCTCGCGCGCTATGCGAGCGTTAAACGCGCGCGCGACATCTCATGTTGCCGATGGGCGAGCGCGCGTATAGTTACCACCTCTCGCGATTTCCCCTGGAAGTTTCTGGAGCTCCGAGCCCCCGCGTATCCGCTGCCATTTGGGGCCTCTGTGGCGCCGGGACAAAAATCAACGCAGTCTGTCCGAGGCCTCGCATGTCCGTAGCCATTTGGGGGCCTCTGACGCGCGTTGGCCCTGAGACCGACTTGCCCCGCTGCCGACTTGAAGCGCCACCCCTGTCGCGCGGGAGTCAACGTTGACGCATTCTGTCTGAGCCCTCTCATGTCCGCAGCCTTTTGGGGGGCCTGGTCGCGCGTCGGCCACGGGGCCGACTTGTCCCGCTGCCAAACTGAGGTGCCACCCGTGTCGCGCGGGAGCCAAGATCGGCGCAGTCTCTCAGCCCTCGCACGCCCCCGGCCATTTAGGGGCCTCTGACGCGCGTTGGCCGCGAGACCGACTTGTCCCGCTGCCGAACTGGAGCGCCGCCCCTATCGCGCGGGAGTAGAATTCGACGCGTCGGCCCAGCGAACGAACCCTGGAATGCCACCGCGACTTTCGCCAGCGGAAAGCGACGGAAGGGAAGCGAGGCGGCAGACGGCGGAAGGAAGGCCGTTTGGATTCGTTACAGAAGACGGCGGAAGCACCCTTCCCCCCCGCCCCCCCCCCTCCGGAAAAGCTTAGCAATGCAGTTTTCTTCCGCGAGCCAGGTTGGCATCCGGCTTGGTTTTTCATTTTTCAATTTGTGCTTTCGAATCAGCCAGGCCGGAATCCCGTAATTCCGCCCGTATAGAGAGTCGCAGAACAATATCCCGGGTCCTTCGCGGGCCCCGCCATGTTGGGATCGGCTCGGAATGAGATGGGGCTCAGAAGTTGCACCATTCCTGCCATATTGGGGCTTCCTTGAGGTCATGTGGAAGTCACATCCTGGTCATGTTGGGGCCGCGCAGCCGTCGCGTGGTCATCATGGGGCCACTTTGAGCGCGCCTTCTTCCATCTTGTTGCCACCGGGCCATTTCGGGGTCACTTCGTTGCTCGTGCGTTTGGTCATCTTAGAGCCGTCCTGATCCATGGCGGGATCGCGTTGGAGTGGCGTCACCCCAGGATCGCCTGGGCGTCATCGTCTGTGCCCTTCTGGAGACATTTCGTCGCCATGGGGGCGTCTTGGCATCGCGGGCGCGAGCGCAGAATGCGCGCGCGACATATCATGTTGCCGATGGGCGCGCATGCGCACATATCCGCCTGCGAGTTTCCAGGGGGCTTTTGCTGGGGCCAACAAATACACGCGACGCGCATGTCGGGGGCGACTAGCGCGCCGGGATCGACGCAGCAGGCGAATAGCCACTACTGGCAGAGGCAGGGACTCGCTTGCGTGACCAACCTACCATCGCATAAACTGGCGCAGCTCGCAAGCGAGGTTCTCCCATGGGACGGCGACATTGTTTCGTAAGACCAGCGACATCGGAGCTGCACTACGTCATCACACCAGATACCTACCTCTACGACAGACACATGGGTGCATGCAGAGCTAAATGGATCGAGGTACATGCGAATCAAGTATTGGCGATATTCCCAATGGACCACGCAATGGACAGGATCCACCGAACCCTCTTGCGATATGGATACTGGCACGCCTCCAAGAACTACATGCTAGTGGGGACGTACCCGCACGATGCCGCTCTTCGTTGCTGCGGCTACATGACGTCGGGCCGGTAGAGGAAGCGTACGCCACGCAGGACATTTTACAAGGGCATATACTATCGGCACCCTCAAGAAGACTATCGTTGCGAAGCTGCTCAGTCACCAATAAAGACCTATGCCCGCACGAGTACACGCGCGTAAAAATATCCACATGCACTATAACAGTTGCTATATGCCAGGTGCAGGTAATCTACATTACCAGCCTACCCCTAACGGGCGGTATTCAATACCACGTGGACCTGATCGACCAGCACGGGAATCCGATCACACTGGAGTATTGCAAATCCTATGGCCGACTTTCTCCGGCGGGGTAGCACAACCAGCGCAGCCCGCATACGATCCTACACGGGAACGCGCAGCGCGCGCGTGGGCGTTCCCAGGAGGAAGACAACTAGGCCTCAGGCTACCTGTACTTAAATTGAGTATTACTTCGGATCATGTGTCGGCACGCCGCTACTGATGCCATGCGCAACGCTACCGCAAGCCTGCGACGCTATTACGTTTACAGCGCTACAGGCAGGACGAGGCACGCCGAGCACAGCGTCATCCGCAAGGTGCGACGTCTTCAGAGTGTACAACACCCCCCGGCTGGGTGGCCCCGCCGCTCGACCAAATGCCCCTTCCGCCCGATGGCCTCAGGTTGCGGGTGGGTGGTGAACGGATAGCGTGAAGTCGGGTATGCCCTTCCACAGGAGGAACATTCCACAATAGTTAAAACATGGCACCAGTCTGATTATCATTCTTGTTGACCGTGTTTCATGTTTTGGCCATTTCCCCACGCCTCGTCTATACTCCGCCTGTTGGAGGACGTGCCCGACATAAGGACAGCGCTTTCCCCTCCTTCCTCCCCCCTTCCGAAAAATAAATGGGCCCGCCCTGGCCCCGGCCGCGCCTGCGCGCGTCGGGCGCGCGGCGCGCCCCGTGGGCGACGCGTTCAGCGGCCGCGGAGGGAGGGGGGGAAGGAGGATGAGAGGGCGGGCGGGAAGGGAGAAGAGTAAGACGACAGCAAATAACAAGTCGAGGAGGAGAAAAGGGGAGGAGAAGAGACGGAGGAGGAGGAGGAAGAATACTAATGTTTACAACGAGAAGAAGGCACATACGAATAATATGAGACTAGGACCAATAATCGTAAGGATACTGCTCATATCGGGAATCGTATAAAAAAGAATAAGAATAACACGAAGAAGCAATACTAACAATACTAAGAACAAGAAGTGTCAGACGAATCAACATAACAATAATACTAATATTAATATTAATAATAATACTAAGAAAAAGAAGTGTCCTGAGGAAGATGACTGTGGCAGGAGGAAGCAGAGGAGGAGGAAAGTCGGCGCCGTCCTGCTGTGCCTGCAGCTCCCCGCGCCCCGCTCCTCTGGCCAGCGGGGCACGGCCACGCTCGCGGTGCTCGAGCTCGCCTCGGGGAGGGCGCCGGCGGGACGCCTCCTGGCGCCGGGCCTCCCCCGGGTCCCCGGCAACGATTACTGCCCAGATTTAAGTCAGGCCTGTCCTTCTACAGGGGGAGTGGTCAAAAATGGCATTTAAAAAGTAGTCAGGGGACGATTTGTTTTTTAATATGTTTGAGGCATTTTTTGAGTATGTTTGGGGTGTTTCTAATTTTTCGTCCAAAGTCGGCCTGTAGGGGGACACGCCCGACTGAAGCCCAGGTGTCCGATGAGATCTGTCGGCGGACATCGGGCCGAACGGAGGGGGGGGCGATAGGGAAAGAGGGGGTTACGAAGTCTGCTGCGTGCAGCTGGTTTCGGCCCCGCCGCCGGGCCCATTCCTCGATACATGGGCGCCTCCCAGCGCTGGGGGAGGCGACTCGTCTTGCTGCTGGGCACTGCAGCGTCTGACCTCCCTTCTGGGGACCTGCGCGGGCCCCCCCTGACTCCTCGTCACGGGATGGGTTGGGGCGCACCGTTGCCTCTGAAGCCCCCCCTCCTCCTTCTCCTCCTTCTCCTCCTCCTTCTCCTCCTGCCCCTCCTCCTCCTCCTCCTCCTCCTCCTCCTCCTCCGCCTCCGCCTCCTCCTCCTCCTCCTCCTCCTCCCTTCCTGCTCCCCCGCCTCTGCTCGAAGATCACCCCAAAAAACCTGCCCGCGGCGCCAGCGTGGCGCAGAGCCCGGCGCCCTCCCGCCGGCCGCCCCCGCCGCCGGCGGGGCCGAGCGGCCGCCAGGGGGCGCGACCGCGGCCGCCGCGGCCGCGGCGCGGACGGCGGACTGCGTTGCGAGGGCGGCGAGGGGTCAAGGGTCGAGCTCGGAGGTTCCAAGGCGGGGTCCTGAGGGATGCGGTCCTCCGGATACCCCGAGATCCAACGCATTGAACAAAATCATGACGGATGCCTTTTGTAGTTTTTCGGCCTCGAGGGGCCCTCAGCGGGCCCCGGGACTGTCAAAAAACTACTCAGGACGAGGAACTGGTCCTGGGGAATGGGTCGAGACGTCCGGGCACCCCGTATTGAAAAAATCACGACGTCGGATCTTTGGGTGGGAAGGGGTCCAAGGGTGGTTTTAAAAGAAGAATGAACGCCACAAACATAATCAAACTGTTTTGGCGCTCCGCGCGGACCTCTTGGATCCGCGGCCGTGGCGCGGACGTCGGGCTTCGGCGGCGAGCGAGGGGGGCAAGCGAGAAGGAGAGGGCCTTTTCAGAGGGTGGCGGGACTTCTCAGGATCCCTGGCGCCTTCTGAAAAGTTTGTGGCTGCTGTCTTCGGGGAGTGCTCCGAAAACTTCTCAGACGGCCAGGGGACTTCCGAGCCTTCTGAGAATGCCGTCTCCTTTTCACTTCCCCCCCTCGCTCGCCGCCGACTGAGGGATGCGGTCCTTAGGAGAATTAGGAACATAATAAGACATTAACACCATAAGCAGAAACTTGTGGCGCTCCGCTCGGATTCCTTGGATCCGCGCTGGGCCCCCCGGGCGCCGCCCCTGGCGCGCTCCGCGCGCCAGGGAGGGGGTCCAGCGGAGATCCAAGAAATCCGCGCGGAGCGCCAACAGTTGATGTTTTTGCAGTTGTTTCTTCCTCTGGGGGTTCAAGGGTGGTTTTGCACCGTCTGAGGCACCTCGTTCTGAGGACCCCACCCCCCCTGAGGGCCCCGCCTTTGGACCACCGACGGGCCTGTATGCCAGCGAAGGAGCGGCCGCTTAGGGTGCGGGCTTTTCGAAGAAGAGATGGCAGCATAAGCACAACTTGGCATCGCTCGGACGTGTGCATTTTTCTCGGCGAGGACGATCTAGGAGCATCCTGTATCATCCTGCGGAAAAGTATGCGCACGGCGCTGAGACGTGCAAGGGGAATAGACGTCCAAGCGATGGCAAGATAAGCTGTCGTAGCTCCGCGCGGATTTCTCGGATCTGCGCTGCCCCTCCCCCCCCCCAGCGGCGCCTCCTGCGCCGCCGCGCCGCCCCTGGCCCCGCGCGCCAGGGAGGGGGGGCGGCCAGCACAGATCCAAGCCAAGAAGTCCGCGCGGACCTCCGACAGTTCATGTTTACATCCAATGGCCTTCGGCCCATCCCCCCCCCGTGCCTGGGTTGTGGGTATGACGCCCATGGGTTGTTCGTTGGGATCTCGTGGGAGGCCTCACGTGGGCCTCTTGGAAGCAGTTGGGAGGCCGCCTGGGGGGCGCTTTGGGGCCTCTTGTGGCCTCTTTTGCGCCTCTTGGGGGCCTCTTCGGAGCCTCTTGGAGGCCTCTTGAGGCCTCCTGGTGGCCTTTAGGGGCCTCCTGGGGGCCTCTTGGGGCGGGAGGTTCGGATTTTCGGCTCGTGATCCCTCTCTTGGGGCCCTTTGGAGCCGTTTTGGGGCCCCTCTTGGGCTGTGTTGGTTGCCTCTTGGGCCGTCTTGGGGCGTTCTTTGGCCGTCTTGGGAACCTCTTGGAGACCTCTTGGCCTTTTGGGGTGCTCTTGGGGGCTTCTTGGGCCGTCCTCGTCTGGAAGCCGAACAGGGGAGAACGCCAGAATCCTTCAACATCTGAAGGGGAATCAATGATTTTGGCTTCTAGGGCCCTCGTGGTAGACCTCTTGGATGCCTCTGGGGGCGCATTGGCGGCTTCTTGGGGCCAGCTTTGGCGTCTGGGGGCGATCTTCCGGCGACTCGGGGCCCTCTTGGACCGTCTTCGGGGCCTCGTGGGGCCCTCTTGGCCCATCTTGGGGCCCTCGTGGGCCCGACAAGTTCATGCGACAACTCGCGAGAAGCCCCAAGAGATTTCAGAATTTGGGGTCCAGGCACCTTGAAGACTCCTCAGGGCTGGGGACTGAGGCTCCAGGGATTAGGCGCGCGCCGGTGGGCGCTGAGGGGACTTCGTCTACCCCTGCTTCGGGAGAGCCGCTCTGCCCCTCGCCTTCTTCAGGTAGTTCCCGCGCTCCTGCCGCGAAGCAGCACTCGGCCCCCGCCTCTCCCCTCGCCTCGGTCTCGGCCGATCAGACCGCCCCCTGTGTAGCGGATGTGTCTTCCTTGGTGCGCCTTTTCCCTGGCGCGAGCATCGACGTCGCCGATGGGCGGCTCTCGCCTTGCCCCAGCTGCGGATCTCTGCCGGGGAGAGGCGCGCGGCACCTTCCGAGCCCCGAAGGACAGCGAGTTCGATCTCTCGACCCTGAACCCTGCGGTCGTCAACAGCCCGGTTCCCCCGTCAGTCTCTTCGAGCGCCCAACGGCTCGGCCAATGGCTTCTGTTGTGCCGACTCAGTCTCGGCCCAGGGGAATGGCCGGTCATCTCTCGCGACGATTCGAGGGAGTTCCACTTCGCCTCCCGCGCCCCACCCGCGCGCGCCAAGGAACGCGTCGCGGGCCAGGTTGCCGGGGGGCCGTTTCGAGTCCTTCCGAGCCGGGCGCCCCGAGTTGACGGGCGCGGCCGTCGCGCCGTGCTTCGATGCTCTTGCCGCGGGCGACAACGTGGCGGTAGAAATCGCCAGCGCGGCGCGCGAGGGCGTTCTCCGCAGTCTCGGGGCCTTCCGGTTTCAGGAGCAGGCGGTGCGCCGATGTCCCTTCCCAGAGGGAAACTTCGTCGACATGCAAGACGTTGACAACCGCGCGAGCTTGCAGAAGCTCTCGCGGTGCGGCCCCGTCCGCACCGCGCCCCGACGATCCCTCTCGCCGCGATTGGGAAGTCTTCGCCGCGGGCGACCACGGCCACCCGCAGGACGGGTCGGCGCAACGCCCAGGGAAGCGCACCCGCGGCGAAGCCCGCAAGGTCGCCGCGGGGGCCGAGATAGAAGGACGGATCGGGATCGCGCGCGCTCCTTTCGTCCGCTCGGTCGCCCCGTAAAGGCTGGCCCTGGCCCAAGTGTATCTTGGCTCCTCGACGCGTGCCCTGATGGCGCCCCTCGTCGGCTGCTGGGCGCAGGTGTTCTTGTTCCGGCGTCCTATGCTCTCCCATTTGTTCCGCGCGTTTATACGCCCTTGTCGCGGATTGCTCTTGGTGACGAGACTGAGCAGGAGTTGCCTCCGTCCGTTATGGGCGAGCTCTTAGCTGCTTCCTTTGATTCTACGGCCATCGCCGACCTGCGCGCGGCCCCATGTCCCGCGGCGTTCGGAGCGGATGCTTCCGTCAGCCACAGGGGAGTAGTCCGAGCGGACATTAGTGCCCAGCGGGCATCAGTGCCCATTTTTCCGTAGAGTTGTGGATGCGTTCCGAGCACGGGGGTTGGCGCACGCGGCTCCACGATCGGAATTTTTCCAAGTTTTGATCCGAGGGGCCCCCCTTGGCCCTGAGCTCACCCAGCTGCGTCGGGACCTAGAGCTGCCTTCGCTTGGGCCGTCAGTCGCGCCTCACTGGGCGACGGAGCTTTCTGAAGCTCCCCGCCTCCGTTTGACGTGCAGATGGCAGTCCCGCGTTCTCACTGATGTCAACATCTTCGTTACCACAGCCTTCAAGAGTTTGCGCAAGTAATGTTGTATCAGAATGCCCGACTCTCGGGCGCCCGTCCTCTTAGATTCCAAAGTGGCTCTGGGAGTGCAGCCCACGGGCGCAGCAGGTTCCCAGGATTGTCCCCATGTCTTGCGCATTACACTGCCGTATATATCGGCGTGTTGCAGATGGGGGAATGGACGTACCGACGGACGTTCCTCGGGCAGACGACCGCACGAGGCACCGGTCGGTCCGCCCCCTCTTGAGCCCCACCAGCGTGGCTTGGGGAGGCAGAACAGGGAAATGTTGAACGATCCGATTGCGTGGCCCAGGCCGACGCTCTCTCTCTCTCTCTCTTTCTCTCGTTCTCTCTCTTTCTCTCTCTCTCTTTCTCTCTCTCTCTCTCTTTCTCTCTTTCTCTCTCTCTCTCTCTTTCTCTCTTTCTCTCTTTCTCTATTTCTCTCTTTCTCTCTCTTTCTCTCTCTCTCTCTCTTCGTACCCTACCTCCCTATGGGCGCGCCTCGTCGCCCCGCTCGCGGCTCGAGGGGTATCGGCCCGCGGGGCCTCGCCCGGGCGGCCGTCTCCCGCCCTGGCGCGGGGGTGGCCGCCGCCGACGGCGCCGCCGCGGGAGAG